TCTGTTGATTTGTACTCTAAGCTCTTGCACTTGATTAATTTCGTTACAGCATGTGATTTCTATGAAATCGCAAGTTTCTTCTCAAAACAAATAAATATGAAACTTAACGGCAAATCACTGATATTGACAATGTCTTTAATTGAATGTGCTGTACAACACATTTGCATAATTTGTCGTGAACATAATTAAAATGTTTACACTGACACGTGGATGATTATATCATTGCGTGACTCATACTACTTTTGGGCGTTATATTATTCAAATATGCTAACCCATAATATTCAACAATATCAATGAATGTCAATATTCACAGCGGCAATTCAAGTTATGCAGTAAATGCCCAACAAAATTGTACAAGAGATTATTTCAACTCATTTTCATATAAGTAATACACCCAACCAAGATTTTTCACGGCAAATAAAAGTACAATCAGAGAAGATTACATCTGTATCCATACAGACATTTAATCAAAACAAGTTAGTCCATAAACTTCGGAATTGGTGCGTGGGTGCTACCAATGATTTTTTCTATAAAGAGAGGCAGTCATCGCGCTGCGCATGTGCGACATTTGTGTTGATAAACATTGATTTTCCAAGAATCCAATGCGCTTCTCTATTGGAAATCTAAAGTATGAGGTTTGACCTGGATTCGACTTGCACTAATTATCGCCGGTGACTCGTTCGATACCTTCCAATCACCTTAAAATACCTAATTTAAAGCTTGGTTACGTCCCAGTTTGTACTCGTTTATCTGCACAACAGTCAAAGTCGCCATCTTCGTTTATATGAGACCCATATATCTCGCGCATGCGTGGCGCGACGACATGAAGCTGTTTAGGCTTGCCAACTTTCACGCAAACAGTGTCAAAAGTACAGACACTTGTTGACAATTTGATGACGAGTTAGTATGATAGAAAGCGTGTACAGTCTTCAAATAACCACAATAGACAGATTGGGGGTCACGGCTAAATATACGTGATTCATAATAAATGCTTTCTATTAATAATTACACTTTAAAATAACCCCTTTTCCATATCCCACAACGCATGCGTCATCACAGTGAGGTCAATTGCGGATTACGTTTTATTCAAGGCAGGTTCAGCACCATCAATGAGGCTTGTCAATTAAACCTAACAAGCCACACCAACCCAGCGACTGTTGAGATTGTACGTATTTGTACACGCTCCCACCTAGACTGTCGATACTACTCGGGCCTAAAGTAATTGTGTTTCCTAGACATTCGAACGCCGGCGGCGTTTGATGGGAAATGCAAACCATTTCATGGGCTTTAGTCCCGAGAGACTGTCCCCGTCTGCAGGTTTCTAGTTGATATGAATAATTCATAGTTGATGCTGACGTCACGAAATAAATTATATAAACATAATGTTCTAGGCTCACGGAAAGCTGCCGCTGATTTAGGGATACTATCATACACATTGTACACTAAGCAAAATACGCTTGAAAAAAAGCATATGTAGCACTGGTGCTGTTTTTAAAGTTCTAGTTGTGAATTTGTCCATGAATTATCTATGCTTGGTCATGACATTTAAAGAGAACGCGAGAAATCAAATCTAATTATATTCTGAGGGTTTACACAATACTCATCTATCAAGACATGGTTTTCTCTCAACAGCTGATTGGGACTGTTCCGCACATTTATACGCTATGGCGAGTGATCACATAACGTGATGAGACGTGTATTTTGTGCGCTTTTAGTTTTACAATTATAAAAAATACAATTGCAGAATACGTGCCGTAGCTTGCTTTTCCGTCATTCAAACCATTCAAATTAATTATTAATAAATTATGCATAACTGACATGTCATATTCATGTACACCTTCACTTTTTCCACAATGATTTATTCAATTTACATGAATTTCCGTGTCACGTGACAAAATCATACTAAGTATTGAAGAAATGTCTCTTCAAATTTCAGAAGTTGTACTGTGACTCCAAGGATTGGTTGACGCACCCTATTGCGATATTCGAGAGAACAGTGACGTCAGAATTGACTTTGAATCACAGACAAACCATTGCAAACTTAAGACTTTGTCATTAAAGGGCGCTGGTCGTCGCACCGCGCATGTGCGACATTTGTGTTGATAAACATTGATTTTCCCACAATCCATAGCGCTCTTCTAATGAAAACCACAAGAACGTATGAGTTTTGACCTGGATGCAAAGTGCAATAATTAACCCCGGCGACTCATTCGACATGTTCCAATCATCGAGGAAATTACATAGTTAATACTTGGTAACGTCTCGGTTTGTTCATCTTAGTCGTATGAGTAACATGCATGCGTGGGCACCACCACCGTTTAATGTAAACTAGGCTTCTCGATCGGCGCGTGGTTTATCTGTATCTTGCTGTATTTAGCTGTGCTGCTGCGTGCTTTCTTTAATTCCGTGGATCTGTCAATCGCGTGACCACATATTATGCGTATTCTTGTCAGTTAAAGATGACATGTGACGAGTGTTGCAAGTGAAACACGATATTGTTTTATTTCGGGTTCTGTTTTTTTTCACATACTTGTTAAAATGAAACTCGTGCTCTATCAAAAAAAAATCCCACTCGTTTTCTAACAACACATCATACCAAGTTAGCCACGTGTCATGTGTCAGACAACACCTGAAAGAATCACTAAACGCTTTTAAATGTATTGAACGTTCTCGGAAAAGATGGTTAACACACTTTCATATTTTCCATTTGCTCCATGTGATTTTACATTGCCAAGTAGTTCAATACACGACTTACGTTACATGACATGTCACATCAGTGACATCGACAAACAGGGCAAACATTTGAGATATTGATATATATAAAACCGATTTATGACTCGAGGTATTTGTACATAATTCTAGAGTAACGTGGGCTTAATTTATTTATGTGTTACTAAAATGTGTGAAAGCTTTGATGTCTTCAACTGATAGGCTAGTGTATAGCGCCCATCGCGACATATAATGATATACGATTTGCCTATGATGAAGTTTCAACCATTTGAGCTGTATTCAGTGATGTTTAGAGTTGTAATAGTATTGGTATTTGATACAATGCAATGTGAATTGTTTACACTTCAGGACACGTATATGATCTGCGCAAAAGAAGATAAGCGTGAGTCTTCATGTGTTCCTCTAAGAAGTCTGAAGTGATGTGAGTGAACTCTCGAATTTGGCTTTCCGTAGTGCCGAAACCGGAACCGGACACTCAATTATGAGGTAGTAATTGCTTTTATGTGTCAAGATATTCCCTGAGACGAGCGAAGGAACTCTCAAAACTTTACTTTCTATATTTGCAACGTGAGGAACAAAATCGCGAACAGGGGTGCAGACGTGTTGACGTTCTACAACGGGTATACTTTCGGTAGAGCGTCCTTTATTTATCCCCCACGAATGTTGACATATGTAATTACCTAAAGGTGCCTACGTGTGTATAATCGGCTAAGTGTAAGAAACTCCTTCTCTAAAATTATCTTCGTTAATGCTAATGCATGTATTTTAGTTTGAGTCATGATCAAATTCGGAATTATAGTGCAGATGCTCTTGTCGCATTATACAAAGTCAACAGATAGCGTAACCTGAACCGTCGAGAGCAAATTACATTGTACCCCAATGACAACTGGTCGACTTTAATCAGTTACAGTTTTATGTTCTTGTGTATTGAAGTGACTATATTAGTTGAAAGTTTTCCTGCTTGTGTTTAGTATTTATCCGGTAAAATGACCGAGATTTGTACATGGATACGCATGGACAGATTAATTCTGACCTTGTTTATATTAAAGCTAGTCCCATAATTCGCACGATTACCAGTATAACAAATGTAATTGAGTGATACTCACAATAAGTAAAAAATAAGATTTTGATACAAACTTTAATATAAATGAGACATTCTGAGATGACAATGTGTCTTGAATACACACATAACAATCGGTATCTATTTAACGGTCTAACTTGACATTAACTGATTTAAAACATAATTACTTTTGTATCGAATCGAATATCTTTTGAATATCTGTAATAATAAAATATATAGAGTTAAGTAAAAAATAAAACAACGATTAAGTACATCCCATTTAGTTTGTTTAGTTCTATAACATTTATACCGCCCTCTGTGTTAATAATTGCGGGCTCTATTGAACGCTGAGGGCGTGATTACATTTTCTCGATTGACGTATGGTTGATGTTATGATTGTAAGAATGTGTTGACATTTCAACGTGAGGATACCAATATATAATTTACAGCTCTTTTAACGAAATGCAGACAACTATCAGTCGCTAACACAGAGGAAATAGACTTCTGTTGACCGCTTACCATCGGCATTCTTGTCAAATACTCAAAACTCGTGGAGATTTATATTTACATTGTACAATCTATGGTAGACTAGTGAACTTGTAGAATGTACTAACCCTTTGCAAAATACATTAAATAAAATTTCCGAAAAAAATAACTACAATATACTTTTTCTGACTTTTGAGTGTGTGATTTGACGTGCCCATTGTGAGCTATCTTTAAGTAATGACCTTTTAATTGAAGTTACCGACAGCTACACCAAGATACATGTCTCGGAGACTCGGTAGTATTCTGGTTAGGTCTAGTCGAATCTTTCACACTTGAAGCATTGTTAATATATACATGTAATAGTATCGCAATAATATTAAATGTGTGTGTCATTTTTTTAACTGCAAAACTGCAATATTTCACGGGATCTCCAGCAAGGATAAGTTGATTCAACAACACATGCTACGGTTTTTACAGACTTGTTTTATTTTCATTCCGATATAATAGCAAGTTTTTTTTTATATTTATTTATTATGTAAATATGGGACAGACTTATGGGTAGAGTCTGGTGAGTCTGAAACCTATGCTGATAAAGATAAAAAAAACAGATTAACAAAAATAGGTAAGCAAATGATTAAGTTGGGTTACTTGAGCGTGGCTCCAGGGTACACGTAACAAGTTTGTTTTCGAAACCATTTCGAGCGTCTTATTATAAGCAGCGTTCTTAGAGAGGCCAATATGTTGCATTTTTGTGTGGTTCCGTCGCACGTACGCCATAACGCGTTTGTTTTAATTCATGAACATAATCAGGGATATAAAATCTTGACTTAGTGCAGTAAGACGCGTCGAGTTTAAATGCATCATTCCATTTTGTTTTTTCTACCTCAAATGACAAGGAAATATCTCTTACCACTTGCTTACAGAAAAGTAAAAAGTCTAAGTTAATCTTTTTGAAATAGCCAACTTCTTCGCGGATTTCATGTGATTCCCCCAGACGCTGTAGGAATATTTTCTTAAAGTGCTCGTACAGGGTGAAATCAGCCTGACTGAAGTGACGATATAATTGTTCGGCATACGATTGAACGGGTGTGATCTTTTTTCTCACGTTAATAGGCACGTAGAGTATATCTTCAAGTTTCCAGCACAACATTCGTCTTAAGAGAATCAGGGATTCGTCATAATATTCCAAAATCATCACAAGGTCGAAGTCATTTTCTATTGAGCCCACAAATTTCATGATAGCGTTTACGTTATCAAAGTACATGGGAGATAATCCCAAATCGAATGACATGAAATTCCTCACGAATTTATTGATCTTAGCATTTTCCCAATCGTAATATCGTCCAGGATTCTTAAGAAACTTTTCTAAATGATGCGAGGTACTTCCCACTGCATTTTCAACAAGTCTTTTCCATCCAAAATAACTGAATGACGATTTGAATTGATTCCACGGGTCACGTAGGATAGTCACATACTTCGTACCATCTGCCATGATTTTATCAAAAGCGCTTCTGTTATACACGCAATGCAGACACAGAATATTGAACTTGGCATTGTCTGGAGGATGTATGTAGTCTTTTTCCTCAAATGCAAAAGGCCATCCAAGACTCCATGCTGCCGTGGGTAAGACAATGGACAAGTTCTTGGTGTCTGCAAATCGTATGAATATCTGAGACGTGGTGTCACTTCCTGTTTTATGTGTTTTTAGAAACACTATATTTGTATGTCTCTGGCAGTTCTCAACAAGAGGCGACCCAGTGACATGGTTTGTTCGAACGTTAAGATCATGTTGTTCTTTGAGCTGTTCTAGGTCACTGAAAAAAAATTACACAAGCCAGCTTTAAATAATGAAAGATGAATGCGCATGCGTACATAATAAAATATTCCACTGAGCGACAACATGGCTGTTGTTTTTGTTTGTTTTTTGTACTCGAGTATCCTCCTTAATTTCCTCCATCGACACGAGTAACTTCATGAAATAACCAAAGATGAGTAGCCCAACATGTAGGACAGTATTAGTCTCCCTCCGAACTAATGACCCTTTATTATCTGTGATTTCTTTCGTAATTTTTCTACTGGAATGAAATCGTGGATAACAACTTTGGCGTAAATTGGTCCACCGATTCTTGAAGTTGATAATTCATATAGATCGATGATCTGTTCGCAAGCATGTTCCCGGAAAAAACAAAACAAAAATTGTATGGTTATTGTGTAATATGTGTATCTATTATAATAGCCCCAAAGGTTTACATATTGATGTTAAAAAAACGGTGGTCGTTGCGCCACGTACGTACGAGATACGTTACTCATCTGAACAAAGATGGCGACTTTGACTGTTGCGCAGACTTGATAATTCCTTTGGTGATAGGAGGGCATCGAATGAGTTACCTGTGGTGATTATTGCACGTTGCACGCAGGTCAAAACCCGTACTTGTGACTTTCATTAGAAGAGCGCAATGGATTGCAGGGAAATACATTTTTATCAGCACAAATGTCGAACATGCGCGGCGCGACGACCACCACCCTTTAAATCTGCATTACTACAGTGTAATAATCTCCATACTATGTAATAACAGTACCGATGATTTCATTGATACCTGCACGCAGATTGAACTTTTGACATTATATCTGATTATTACAGAATACGCCATTTTCTCTGTGCATTTTACTATGTCCTTCAGGAATAATTTATAGGAGTTAGTCTAGTCTGAATATTTATGTTACTTTGAGATGTCAACTAGTACCGGTATGTAGTATGAAGCTGCATATACTTGAGACGTCATTCATCCCAACCTCAAAGTTCCATGCAGTGACATTGTTTCTATGTCTAGTGTTATGACTAGTGGGAGGAACACGGTTTGAATTGGTAATTATATTACTAAAACATTACAGAAACTGAAAATAGAGCATCCCTTCAAAATTAATATATTTCCTAATCGCAATAAGGTAGACTGCCGATAATCGATGTTCATGATTGTGGATATGTTATGCAAATGAGCTACAGTGTTCTACAGTATCTTGAATAGACACTATTACGATTACTTGAACATTGCGATTTGTTGTTGACCTTTATAATCTTCGAAGTGGAAAAACGGGATAAATAGGATATTTAATTCAAGACATTACAATAACAGATTTGTTAAACATTGTAGTAGTTTTTAATCTGTTACTCTTCGCCATGCTCAGTATAATTGCAAATTAGAAGACTAGAATGAATGAATGAATGAATGAATGAAATTAGAAACATACCTGAACGAATATGAATTGGTGTTTATCGCCAACCTCTGATATAAAGAAGTCATCTTTGCTTTCTGGTTTTCTTGGTTATTGACTTTCGGCTCACGCACATCGCGTTCCTTTTGAGGTATATTCATTGAAGATTTAGGAAGATGTTCGTCCAGGACTACAGGCGGACTATACACTTTTCTGTCATTTTCGACAATGTTGACAGAATTCGCATTAGAATCTTTTCCAAGAATGCGGTCAGGCAAACTTGGCGAATCGTTTTCTAAAACGATTAAGTTTGAAGATAAAACGGACGTTGTTGGATATTTGATCACAATATTGTGCGCTCTTGCCATATTTACTAGCTCACTCAACCGCAGTTGTCGCTGTTCGCCTTTGCCTCGTACATACAACTTGATTATTGATGCATCGTCAATTAAATCAAATTGAGGTGCGTGCATCCGGGCAATGAGTATTATTGTCGTTATCACACTGAACACAAGAATGACAAACAGTCCATTTCTAGTGGCGAAACCAACCATTGTCCCTGCAAACAAATTAGATTATTTATTATGTTGACCTTATCACTCTCAACGACACCTCTTCATTTACATATTGTATCTAGGCAACCACTAAGTAGCTTTATTGAAATTATTCAGATTTTATATCTTGTGGTGTAATTTATTAATAAAGATGTTAAAAACATTTGAACTATTGGTTCACACGTGGTTACAGCGTGGTCATGTCTTTTAGCCATGTTTTTAACAAAATATATTACTTTGCATCGACTTCCCTTCAGAAAAAGGGTTTATATTTACGAAATAGTTCAGCAGCTGATCTCGTTGTCCAAATGTTTATATTTTTTAACATACCTTAGAAACAATGGCCGCCGAGATCTCGTTCAAAGCGAGATAGCCACGAGACTTGGGTTTGCTGCCTCAATATGTGTCGTTCCACTGAATCGCGGCATTGTGTCGCGCCGTGTATTCAGTGTTATTTACTTGCTGGGTGCCTTGGTTTAAAATTTTAAACAGTAATGTGGATCTATTACATGGGTGTATTAATGATACTGAATGATATGCCTGTGTCGGTAAGAGTGAAGAAATTGAGCAATCTATCAAGTCGCTACGAAAAGCTCGTGTCGTGCATGTCCTTGGGCAATGCATTTGACTTAGTATGATATTGCACTAAAAATTTCATGAATTCGCGGAAGAAGTTATGTTATTCATCCCACTGTCAGTTAATTTAACAATCTCAGCGATTTGACAGGATTCATCTCACTATTATCGAACAGTATATTTTATTGTTTTGTTGAATAATTCGTTTATTATATCGTATGTGCTCATTAATGATAAATATTTTGCCTCATGTTTTATTCATTGTTGTATGGATATATCACATTGGATGAGAGTGAATTGTTGTAGAAATGCGGCCCAGTGATACGAGTTGAACAGAGTGATCAGGTTAAAGCGCGGTTGAAAAGAAAAGAGATAAATGTTAGCTGATTTAGTCAAGATTCAACACCCGATATTGGTCTAAAAACTAGTAGATTAGTGTGTCATTTAGTTCTACCTCATGAACACCACTTGTTAGCATGCTATAAATTAACAATACATGCATGTTCCCAACGTAGGACGAGTAATGCGTTGGCCAGCGTTAATGTATACGCGCGCGTAATAGCGTTCTAAACGCATATTTGGATAGTAATATGTTTGTTAACACGACTAGCAGACAGCATTTATTCTTGATCAAATAAAAATATGGTAAATTTAAACCCTATGGCACAAGTGGTAAATTATTCGCAAATACTATGAGGTTATTACAAGGATACCTCAAAGTATGCACGAAGACAGTACAACGGAAGTATCGATGCGGAGGTCGATGCGACGGTGTACTGCATGAGTACATACTCTGAGGTATCCTCGTAATAACTTTATTATCATGTATTTTTCCTTCCAATGATACGTCATAGGAATGCCGAAATCCAAAATGTTTATAACCGAATCATCGAACTTCTTTGTGTGGAGTCTGGTCAAACCCTGGTGGCAGCCATGTTTGTTTTTACTATTAGAGGACGCTTACGCGCGTAATCATTCCATATTTTAAATTCGCATTTCCTAATATGATACGATGAATACCCATAATAATACCCATTATGTATTACCCTATATATGAAAACGGATTACGATATGCATTGGTTGACACCAACGTGGATTTTTGAAACAGGTAAGACGTTATTCTCGTAATCATGTTACCAAATTGACAAACACGAAAAAGCTACCAATTACGAGAAACAGCAGCAGTATAATACGGCTAACTTTTTCGAGAAAATGATATGGTATGAAACGTTAAATTTCTGAAAATCTGTTCGTTGGATCGATGGTACCTAGCAGGTATGAGAGTCATACTTGAGACTATAGAGCACCAGAAACGTACTCACCTATGACAATTGCTATGAATTCTATCAAATCCCGCCTAATACTGCACGTCATTGAATCCAACTGGTATAACATGATATACCCACATTGCCTACAAAGTGTCACGTGATGGACTATACGAGTTATATCAGTAAACACTGCTTGTCACTCGCGATGTCCGACAATGGTGTCGTTAGGTTTAGACTGTTTCATAATACCCCGTTGCTGAGCAACTGCCAGCACATTTCGTGATAATGTTAGCGGAAACGCTGAACAATGTATTAAATACATAGACCCATCACAGTGTGTACCAGGAGAAAATACGATTAATATTTACTAATAACTAATAATAATTAAACTATCGTAAGTGAACCATACGGTTGCACTAAATCTACATGTATATTGACATAGCATAGAACGTGTTCGTAAATTCCATTCTAGGGCTTGGTGGGATTTGTTAGGCGTTTCAATGAACTGTCCTGTTAAATTGAGACTAAATACCTCAATGCCAGTGCTATATTTCTATTTGGAAGTATATCTACCGTCCCCTCACCTCATTAAGGTAGAGATGCAGTTTACCTGACAGGTATTTTAATTAGTTAATTAGGAAACCAAGATGACCTTCCTTGTCCACAAAACTATATATTTTCGGAAAGCTTATTGTATGAATTTTAAAATTTTGTTAGTATTTTTTTAAGGACACCGTAGTTTGAAATATGCACAAAAATGTGCTTTTTGGTCAAAAATGATTAAAAAAATTAGCTTCTAAACCATGCTTCTGTTTCCTATCAAA